CTAATATCGATCCAGTACAATTTTTCTGTTCTCCTTTGTAAAAAATATTATTTTGCAGCTTACAAATTGTAAAGTTTGGCACTGGCATAGGTAAAAATGAAATTCTACACACAGAGGTGGCTGCAACAAAGTATGCCGCACTTCCGAGTTGAGTGCGGTGCGTTGAGTGCCTTTATGCTCCCACAACTAATTTGTCACGTTTTAGCAGGAACATGGCAACTGGCAACAAAGTGAAAGAAAGATTAAAATACTGGGGTTAGAAATGCACAACAAGCCAACCGGCATCCGGAAACGGAACTGCACACGAAATTGGAAATCAAATGCCATCTGATGCAACTGCAGTTGATATTTATAATGTTCAACATTTCGAAGCAGGTGCAAACGATAAAGTTCCAAATGCAATTTCCAAACCAAAATGAAACGTTCTCTCTGATGCGAAACTAGATTGGGCTAGAAGTGCACACCAATATTGATTGCGATGGCCAATTAATCACTTGTTCATGTGGACAACACAAGAACTGTTTGCATTCTTGCCAGGAAAAGAAATAAAGAAATAAAGTACGAATGCCGTAGTCGACTAAGCACTACATTCAGGTGTTAATTCTACTTTTAAAAGGTACTGAAGGGAAAGAAAAATGAAAACTAAGTCACAGCTCAATATGAATACGTTCTGTGGCATTTATTGCTAATGGAAATCTAAATGTATTGATATTCACGAAACGGAGGCAACTATCGTTGAAACTTGTATAAAATGTATATGTGCTGGGTATACGAGAATTTATATTACATCTTTATTAGTTTTGCAATTTTAAATGGGCAAGAGCATGAGCTGTAAGGCGTTAATACACTGATTAAGCGTTTATGAATTAGTTTTTCAGCGGAGGCGGAGCGCACTTGATGCTTGGCAGCTGTGTGGTAATTAAAATAATAAAATACTTCAGAATGCCGCTGTATAAACAGCTTAAGCCACAACATTTCACACAAGTGCATTTGCTTATACAAATATTTGCTCAGTTGCATTTTGTCGTCTGCACAATTCTTTTCGCGAGGTGCTTAAACAGGGTTTCCAGTTGGGGAAATGGGGATTAGAATGGGAGGAAGTGTGCCTTGTGGCAGCCCACATACAAATGTACTTTTGCACACATGCACATATGTATATATATGTATATGCACAGCAGCGCGTTAGTCTCAATAGTGTTTTTGCATTTGCTAGAGTGCCCGGTAGTAGTTTTTAATTTTTTATTTGTGGAGTACTTCCGTTTTGGTGCTCTTTATGTCGCTTCTGTGGTGCTCTGCTTTCTGCTCGATTCCCCTTTCGCTAAATAACTAACTGGCTAAGTAAGTAAGCGAGTGCATTGCAATATTTAACTGCAAAAGGATTGCCATAATTTCCTTCTCATTGTTTCTATTTTGTGTCTGGGTAAAATAAATGAAGCTGACAAGGCGTAATTTATTTACAGTAGAGGCTAACCCAAATTGTCCGACTCTATAAAATAATTTGTTCTATATCTGGCTTCAAAATCCAATCTGCATATAAAATAAAATTATTATTAATAAATCAGACATGCATAATTTACATTTCACATTTGAATAATAAATGAAAAATTATTGTAAAAATGCCGAATATAAACCCAGATAATTAGTCAATATAATAACTATTCCGCATATTGTAGAATCCAATTGTAGATTTCGCTGCTTAATTATACATTTTCCCTTTCACTTTACACCCAAGCTGACCTGACCTTTGCCAACATTTCAAATCCCCCTTTCCCACATCAATTTTTCTCCTATTGATTTTTGCACCCTATTGTTTAGCATTCAAGCAAGCAATTAAACGACTTTATTGCCAATGGCCATGACTTTTTGTATTGTTTTCCGAATTGCAATGCAAACGAATAACAACGACTGAATCCCTTCTCATAATAGGTAGGGTTCAACCTATAGCTAAATGCAATCTAAAATATTTGAATGGCTAATCAGCTAACAAGCTGAAAATCAGGAATCGAACAATATTATAATTGGCGTTAAATATGCAAAGCACAGGCCACAACTCTAAATTGATTGCATTGCTGAGCGTGAGAATATCAACAAAATGGACTTTACGATATAGATAATGTATAAAATAATGTTAGTAAATGGCTACAAGCACCTAGCCATATGTTGAAATTGTGTAAACTGCAAAAAACTTGAACCCACAATGCTTGCAAAGTGTTATTAATGGTAAATGAGCAAAAACGCTGCATAGATTGCAATGGGTGGTTTTTTTTTAGGGGTAGTTAGCAAATTATGGGGTAGATGGAGCAGAGAGGAGCAGATGTCGCAACACAAAAACAAAACAACCACAAAATTTACAAATTACTAACCAATTATGCTGCTCAGTGTTTATTTATATTTATATTTTTAGTAAAGTTTGAAAATTAACGCCAAGAGCAATGCACCTCTTCTGAAAGTATATTTCTAAAACTGAAGATTATTTCTAGAAACCAATGTTTTAATATTCTTCACTTCAGGGTAAATTTAGAAGAAAAAAATGATCTAACTTCCCTTGTAGCTTTTCTAAATGTGTAGACAAACTTCTAATATTTGATCTTTTGTAGCATATATTGTTATTCAAGTTAAGTATTTTATAATTTCACATTTACCAACATTTAACCTTCTTTATTATATTTTTCTGAATTTCAGAAATGATTTTTGCTAAAAATAAGGATTTCTTCAAGCTTGTTGATTCCTGTTAATCCTATTCGAGAATATGATAACTGCTTTGTAAAATAGTTAACACTCGATTCAGCTACCTTGCTGCATATGAGAATTGCACAGAATTCAAGTTGGCTTTCGTGACACGAATTCCAATAACAATTGAGAAAGATGGTGTAATTTTTGCGTGTTGAAAACTCGTAACTTAATTTATATGAGAAGGCAATATTAACATGTGGCACATGCTGCACGCAACAAATCTGATGACACTATTAACTCCCCTCTGTGGGTGAGGATAGGCATCATGCAGTGCAATATAGTATAACGCTGGGAGGCCAATTTTGTCGCGACCTCGTTTCCTCGTTCACCTACCAACAGTCACCTGGCACTTGTGCAGCGTATGTGCGTAATATTCATGCAACGCAGCTCAACGAATCACACTTTCTGTTTCCGTTCAGAATTTTAATGAGACTCGCGTGTGGATGCATGTTGAAGAAGGAGGTGTAGAAGTAGAAGTAGAATTAGAAGTAGAATTAGAAGTAGTAGACAAAACCAAGGGCAACGTTGGTGAGAAAGAACTTACAGCATCAGCTGTTAATTTATGACACCAACTAAGAGATACGCTTGATAAAGTACTTAAGTCAAATTTGAAAATCATATTTTAGATCTTAAATACAGTTTAAACTTAAAAGCAAGCTTTATGTCAAGCTTTAAATCAGGATTTAAGTCAAGCTTTATTACTTTACTCTTATGAAACAAATTCAACAACAAAACTGCTTCGATTCAATTGGATTTATTGAAACTTGTTAGCAACAACACGTAAAACTTAAACTAAAAACTTATTCAATACTTAAGTCACAATTTATTGAGCTTTAAATCAAGCTTTAAATACTCCACAAAACTGCTCCCATTTAAAAATGCCTTCTGCTGCTTCAACCGCATTTATAGAAAATCAACAACAAAAACAATTTAAAGTTGAACTTAAAATGTTTCAGTTTCCTGCTTCATTTATTCGTTTACACTTTAACTGTTTTGTCTGTGCGTCTCGGCGGTAAACAAACTTTTTTGTATTTATAGAGCAGTCATTTTTTACTTTTCTACTTGGGAGTCAACAAACTAAAGTTGTCCACTTAAATTGATTACAAAATTTCTAAATTAATCGCAATTATTTACCAGTACTTTTACGCTTAAAACACCATCACGAAACTTTGAACTTAGCAACTTTGTCTTTCTCACAGAATTTAATACAGTCCGGGACTAAAACCAAAAAAAAAAACAAAAAGTAAGCAATCAATGTGGCCAAAATTGCCACAACGCTAACTCACATTTCTAACTTAAAATGGTTGCTCCCTTCTCTGTCTTCTCGCTGCTCCCTTTACATCAATAAACTTCTGCTTTACAGCGTCTGCGATTTCTTTGGGAAAATTGTTTGACCAAGACAAATGCCACCGGAAAATTTGAAAAAAGTTGAATACTATCCATAACCGTATGAATTTTATTTAATACAAAAAAAAACACAGCACATCAATCATCTATGTAATATAATACTGTTTTTTCTATCCAAACGACAGGGCAGAGAGACAAGGCATTCATAATAACAATTTGTAAAAGAACAAATCACCAACCAAGTCTTCAACTTCTTCCCAGTAGCTAACAGTTTAAATAATACTTTCGTAAATTGTGTTAAGCGCTCTTAAATTGAAACACTTTTATGTATATGAGATTGGTTTTACATATATTCTGATTCAGCTGCCAGCGGTAACAACAAGTGCTAAGATTATAAACAAATACATATTAACAAACTTGAATCTTGAATTTATATAGAACACTTAAGTTAAGCTTTACTTTATGTAAATTGAAATTTACCAACTGAAGGCGTCACAAGCTCCCAAAACAACAATGGTTATCAAAACTGGAAAGTCAACGCTTTACAGATATGGAAATGAATTAAGCGAAACACGCCCATCTTATAAACTTGATATTCCTTAAAAAGATGCCCAGCATTCATAAAAATTCATGTAGAATATTCAGCATTGGTATCTGTCCAACGCTTTAATATTTTTCTTTTGTTTGCTCACATTTTTCAGTACTCTCTTCTTATTATTAAATGGACTCTCAACTGTGTATGCTTAATTAATGCAGTTTTCTTTTGAGCACTCACTGCGTATACTTGATGTTTTCTCTTCACAAATTGATGCAATGCATAAAATCACTTCACCAGCAATGAATTATTTTTTCTTTAAATACGGTATGTGTACAATTTGCATTTAAATTGATTTCATCCAGTAGAAATGCACACTTTTTACCTGTATGTATAAGATGGCACTACAATATGTAAACTGAAAGATAGCACTCTTCGAGATATGATTAATATAGACGACGGTTCCCGAGACGTGAAGCTCCGTATCGAAACGTGGTCCGTTGTCGTGGGCTATTAAAACTGAACTGAAATCTGAAGGCGGCGAACTTCTAAATATGAAATGACATGGAAATGAATGCGACAAGATGGGGGAATGGGGGAGTGGAGGGGCAACAGACAACCAGCAAGGCAGAGAGCAGATCGAGACAGGTTTTGGGTTTTGCTGAAACCTCCGCTTTAAATCGTGCTCCCCCAGATTTGTACTTGCAAGCGTTGATCAACTCAACTTAAGCATTAGTTAGCTTGTTTTATTATAAACATTTTTTATTACAATCACCTGCATCATCGTGCCGTCTTTAGACTGACGAGGTGTGGTGGCCATGTGGTCTGTGGTTGGGGCGTGGCACCTCAAGAACTTGGTCAGCAATATGCCGCACTTAATCAGCTGATGTTTACCACAATTTGCGGTTGCCAAGGGTTGCAGTTCACGTTGCTGAGCATCTGGGTGCCAATGAAGGCTAAACTCTCAGATAATGTTCACACTTGATTACTCATACGCCCTGTGGTTTACTTGACACAACACAACAAGTCACAATCAAACCCGTTCAAAAACAGTCAAAAGTCGAAAACATTTCAAACAAGTTTAATGAACACGCAAATATATCTCAAATTTGCATGACTGGATATCTGGATTATATCTAAAACCTGGGACTTACATTTCAATATCATTAATTGTTTTGTGTGAGACACTTATCGATATTATCGTTAGACTTAAATATGTAATTATTAAACTATCAAATATATATTTAAAAACCTTATTAGTCCAAAATAATGATGAAAGCAAACAACTTTGTACCGAAAATTGTGACTGAAATTCTTTACTCAACCTTAACTAAGTTCAATAACGAGTTGATAAAAAAAAAAAACGACAAGCAATTGTTTTTTTAGATAGCAATAGATAGTAACAAATATTGACAAGCAACACTGAACGAATTTTTGCCTCAAAACTGTCAAAGCATCAATTTTTATTTTTCCCTTTGTTACAAAATGTCCACAACTGAAATTGATGAATATTTCTTTGTCAAATTTTCTGTCAAAATTCATGAAAAATTATTTTTAGACCAGCGTTGTAAACATTTCCTGATAACTCCAAACATTTGCTTAAATTATGTCAGCTTAAAATAATTAATCACATTGTACACATAATATACAATTTATAGCTTAAAGCGAATGCGAATAACTCACATTTGTTGACATATTCATAATGACTTAGTAACATATGTTAATTAAATCAAAACACGCGAATAAAATTCCCATTCTTCAAAAAAAATACACGCAACAATTTGTAAATTTTTTCGCATCAGTTATTAGACAGCTAGACTTAAATAAACAAACTGGCCATAATGACGTATGGAAGTGGGAGAATTAGAAAAAGAAGATGTCAACGATTTAAGTTTTGCTTTAAGCCAACATTTTGCATACTGTTTCCAGGTATTTCCCCAATTATTTGCCGATGCGTCAGTTGTATCAAAACTGGTTTAATTTTCTGTGCTGATCTGTTTTCATACTGCCTGCGTGTGAAGTCTTGTTATTGTTACTGTGGGTGCTGTTGTTATGGTTGTTGCTATTGTTGCTTGAGAGCTGGTGGTTTACATCTGGCTGGCAAAGTGACAAAATGAAAAAATGTCCAGCGCACAATATGCACTCATGAAATGGTATAGCGATTTTACACGTTGTTTGCCTCGTTTTACATAATCCGCTTATATGTGGAAAGCCAAATCCAAACCAAACATCGAATGAATTGCGATCTCCGCTTCCCGTTCCCCTTCCACCTTGTTGCCCCCCTTTTTTGGTGTTTAGGTTAAGCTCAGTGTTCTTTAATATCTGTCAACTCGTGAACGCCTTTCACTTGAAACAGTTTGCGAATTGTGATTTGGAATTGGACTGCCCGCATTGAATTTACAGCTCTGGCTTTATTGCCATAAATCCATTTGAAGGTCGTCGCTATTTCTATAAATATTTTGTGTGAGTTTTGCTTGACTTTTTTTTGTTTTTTTGTTGCTGTTTTTTTCCAGCTCAGTGCCACTTTATACAGCATAAATTGCATATGTGTGTGAATTTTTTATAAAGTGTGTCTGCACGTGAAACAATTTAATTGGCTTGAGCTAAATTTTTTTTACGTCCGCTTTAAATTCATATATTCTTTAGTTTTTCGATTTTGATGATACTACAGGCTTTTAAGTTATTTTATTTTTTTTTTGTGATTTTCAGCTTATATATTTTAGCTATTCTCAAAAAAATCGTATTTAATACAAAACCCGGCCAAAGCTTTAAAATTGCATTGTTATTAAATGCTAACTTAACGAAGTTCATCTCATGTTATTCAAATTATTAATATGCTCATGGTTTGTTACTGTTCAATGACAATCATTTGGTGAAAAAAGCAATCAAACTATTTTAATTACATTCTCATTAGTAAATTGTTCTATTTTAGGTTAACAAACGTTCATTCGCATCATTCAACCGCATTATGAATAGCATATACTCGTATATTGTGTATTATCATTATTATTGCTGCCTATGTAGCATTAATTAATTTGTTGCACGCGCTAAAATGCCAATTGAAGCAGAAATGTAATATTCCGAGAAATCATAACAAAGCGTTTAGTTATTATTGTTGTAGGTGTGTCAGCTTGCAAATGTTGATTTAAGCAAAATATTCCACAGCAAGCCCGCCAAAATAGTGTTATCATTCGATTTGTAATTATTAGTGTATGCAAATCATTCGACCATGTTGATTTTATGACACATTGAACACCATCAATATATCTTCATATAGAAATGACCGCACAAGGAGCCGCCTAAATTGAATATAAGCTTTAATGAATTAATTATAGTCTTTGATCTCAAGAGTTGATAGATCTAACGAGTGCTTAATAATTTAATTGCAGTTTTAATTTAATTAATGCCGATAAATTTAAACCAGTTCTAACATAAGTTCCACAGCAGGCAGCTAGTAAGCTTTTGCTAGTCAATACACAAACCTTTATTTGGGACAATGTAAAAAAATTTGGCAGTAAACTTCAGTTGCTTACAGCTGTTAGATCAAATAATTCCATACTTATTCAGTGGCAAGAAATCATAGACCGAAATCATTATTAATATATTTTGCAAATTTTTGATTTTAGGAACAGCTTTTTTCATTCTGATATTTGTTTAGAGAAATTCTACATTATTTTGGAATGCTGAGTTTCGGCTTGGTTTGAAAAAGTGCCGTATCTGCAGCTGCAACTGCAGCATGCGGAATAGCATTGAATGGAATTAAAAGGGATGGGCACAAGCACTAATTGATGATGCCATGGAGATAGTTCCTTTGACAAATAAACTGGCAACCACTGGCAACGCACAACTCTAAGTTGTCTTTTAATTAATGATAAACCTTGTGTAAGAGCATCAGCAACTGGGGGCAAGCGTCAAAGAAACAAACTAAATAACCTAATGTCACAAGAGAAACTGTATTTGTATACAATGATAGCTGTACTCGGGGACACATGGCGATTTATTTTAATATTGTATATTTTCCCACAGGCTGGCAGTAATATTCTAAACTAACTGGCTTAAATTTAAATCCAATTGTATTTCGTTCACAATTCATTATTAAATATTTTAAGATGTGTCCCATAATTATACAAATTATACTAATTAATTTTCATATTCATTTCATGCATTTTAATATTTACCATTCAAATGAAATGATTTTCAGCTCAATTACAATGAAAAGTGTCAATCGTTGGTAATGATTAGGAAATAATCAAAATCAAAACTATGCAAAATGCCTGTGGCAAATCATAAAACAGAAATCGTATTATTTGTTATTATGCCAATGTAGGAAAAATTAACAGAAATGATCGAGTGAAAGATGCCCAGCAGACAAGTCGATTATTTGCACAATATAAAACTTGACAGTAATATGTAGTATATGCCATTTGTTTAATTGTTTAAGGGGTATTTAATGCGCTTAGCGAACATTTGTCTAATCGATTTTCATTTATGACTAACAAAACCTATTTTATTGAATTAAATATAAATTACACTTGAATTCGTGTGGGCTGAAAATGCCTAAATATGTGCTAAATTGCAATGGAAGTATAATTAATAATGTTGGTGTAAATGACAAGCAAATACTACTTGTGTGGAATTTTCAACTTGCGCTGGACACCAAATGCATAATTATGCTCTCGGCTATTATATTGATGCAATTGAATTAGTTGCAGACAGCTGTTTGATGTCAAATCAGGACATCTCCATAGGGTTACACACATTCCTGACAAACTAATATTGTTAACAAATTGATGGGCTAACAAAGTTTTTACAATAACTACTCATAGCCCGAATTTAATTGAAGTAAACATATTTGAAATATTTCAGAGCACACAGAACACAAACCAAATAGTTGCAATTAATTTGTGAGGCATGTGCCAAAATATATAATTGGATTGTGTGGAAAATGTGAAATGATGCAACCACAAAAACTTATTTTAGCAATTAGGATCCCATTAAGTGTGGTTGAGTGAGTGTAGTTACAAATTCCATTAGGCTGAATCGATGCGTGCAAATTCAATAAATAATCAGGCAATAAGTTTTCACACTTCAACACGCCCAACAAACTTTAAAGCCAAATTCATCGATCAACGTCAACAGGCAGGCAGACTGGCAGACAAACAGCCAGAAAGCAGCAGCTTGCCAAAATTGGTGCGTGTTTCCACTGAGGCTTTGGCGCTTTAAGCCACAATTTTCACCCACAAAGTGCCAGCTGCCTTTTTTACATGCGCAGGCAAATATTGACAAAAGAAACGCAAACCTGCCACGGAAGCAAAAGTTGTAAAAAATAAAAAAAATATAAAAAATACCTATATATATATATATATATATATATATGAAATAAGTAAATATTCTGAGTTTAACAAACATAATGAAAGCATAAAAAAGGCAACCAATGGAATTGATTATTTTACCCCCAATTTGTTGCACTTATTGAGTGGGTTGAGAAATATGTAATTTTTTTTACGTTTTTGGTTTATG